GGCGATTTGAATTTGGTTCGGCTCAGCCATTCTGGGTTTTTGTTGGAGCTGTGGAAACCATTGTTGTTTGGGTATTGTATTGTAATGTGGATATTGTTTGGTGCCTTTTCAATCTTTTCTGTTACCAAGAAACAGCCGCCGTTCTTCACGCCTGGCTCAGCTGATACGCAACAGGACGGCAAAACGCTTGTGTAACAGGGCTATTACTTGCATGTTCTGTCGTAATCTTCAGTTATAATTAATGTTTTCTGGTCTTTTACAAAAAGATCTGTTAAAAGGACGATGATCTTCTTTCCTCTCAGGTCCTGTTGCGTAAGCTCACTTATAATAACGACTGAAAACTGGCGTTGATTCAGACGCCGAACTTCACATTCAAATTCATATGAGCCGGTGTTCCCCTTTTGATTTCAGTTCGGCTGAAATAAAGATCGGCGTCGTAATTAATCTATTTAGCCGACCTAAATTTATTTGACTCAGCCCAAATTCGAAGTCGATTCGGCTCGTGTGAAGTATGGCGTTTGATCCGGGCCTTAAATTAGTCGTACCTGACTGCAAACGTCATTATACGGACGATTGATATAGCGTCGCCCTTTTTCAAGAGAAGATCTTTTGCCTGGTCTAAAATGGGGCGGGAGCCTATTCCAGGCGGTACTGCCAGTTTCCGCCTCGAATGGTAGGGTTTTCAAGCATTCGGTCTGGGATATGATGAATTGATACGTGGTATGATCACAGTTGGTGAGAAGGCAAGAATTTTTTTTTTCTTGGAGCGGGTAAGCAAAAGGCATTTGAACTGAGTCTGGTATAGGCAAAGTGTTGCAGGATCTCAGAACGCGCGCCACGTACCAACCCGAAACAGCTCCACTAAATGAGCAAACAAGCCAATTGGTAGGCAATTGGCAGAGCGCTGCACCGGTACCGCAAAGGTCAAGGGTTCGAATCCCGTACAAGCCTGAATTTTTTTCAAGCTTTCTTTTTGCAGCTGCAAAAGTTGCATCTATAACTGCGATGACCTTCTGTCATATAATTCTTGACCCCGTAGTTCTCATATATGATTTTCATATATTCATAACTTCAGTTTCATTTTTGTTAAATGGAAAAAAAAAGTTTTCATCTGCCACACAGTTTGAAGGGCCTTATTAGTATTTATTTATTACTTCGGCGGAGCGCGAAGTTAAAGATTTTGCGCAGCTCAGGAATGTTCCAAAGTTGCATTTGGATGTCCCGAAGCTTCTTCCGAATGTCCCGAAGTTGCTTCGTAATTAGTTCGAGATATCTTCGAGTTCTTTGATTTGTTCTTTCAGGGGAAAGAAATAATTATGAGTAAGTATTAACTTCTGGAAGAAATAAAGAACAAATAATTATCATTTCTGGCTTGCCAAGGGTTTGTACCGGCTTAGGTGCAACCCGTCATATAAGACTCTAAAATTTCGCTGCGCGCAGTTACTATTTAAAGACCCGAAACTCAGACAAACAAACTGAAATTAACAATAGCGAATTCCTCACTTTTGTCTGACTTTTGTCATTAAAATGACATGTTTGTCTGTCTTTTGTCATTAAAATGTGAAAAATGACAAAACTCAGAGAAAAATTGTAAATTAGTCACTCTGACGTCATTTGCGCGCAACGCTATTGAACCGGATTAGCCGATTGCGCCACTGCGACCCAAGGTAACTTGAGATATTCACTAGGGAAAGATTCGGCAGGCAAGTTTGTTATTTGTCTGCTTGTTTTGGGTTTTGACGAATGAGTTGGAGATATCGCAAGATATCTTCTAGTTCTTTCCGCTATAATAAATATTTGAGGCGAGCGCAAAGTATTTAAGGATTTGTGACGCTGAAGAATGTCGTAAACTTGCAGGTTACTTCCAACGTGAGGCCGGATTTCTCGAAATCAGTTTTAACTAGGTCAAGATTCACAAGTTACATGCCTTCATAGAAAATATTTTGGGGACAGAAATGTGTATAAAGTTTGAGAGTGAAGAGATTTCGATTACTGGAGATTATTGCAGCAGGAGTGATTCGAAAGAGGAAGATCGAGGAAGAGGTACGGTCGTTAGCGTTGCGTGACGGACGAGGCGATTCGTAAAACGATAGATTGTAAACAAGGAGAAGGAAAACGCAGTAAGCGTGATTTCGTAACCGTTGTGATAAACATCATTATCATTGTTCTTCTTTTAGTTTTGTTTGGAAGAGTAGATGTTTTTATACTTGTTTTTGTGTTGTGTGTTATTGCATTTCATAAAGGTTATGTCTCAAAGCGTGATTTCGTAACCGTTGTGATAAACATCATTATCATTGTTCTTCTTTTAGTTTTGTTTGGAAGAGTAGATGTTTTTATACTTGTTTTTGTGTTGTGTGTTATTGCATTTCATAAAGGTTATGTCTCGATGTTGTGGAGATTGTGCATTTCTGCAAGTTTTGTAAGGGCGGGTACTGATGTTAGTCACGTTGCCGGAGAAGGTGTGGAGTTAACTGTACATAAGGAAAGTGTTGTTGTATCGTTGTGCGCAATATATTTATGATAGAAATTATAATCGAAACGAAGAATTTGATGAAAAGTAATAGCATACAGGTTCTTCATAACAGAATCTGAAACAAGATATTGGTAGAGGTGTCCCCTCGTACTAGCAGACTTCCGGTGAAGAAGTTAAGGCCCGGTTCAGACGCTGGACTTTTCATGAGCCGAACCTAATTCGAATTAAGGCCGACCCAATTTATTTATACCGGCTGAATTGATTCAGACGCCGGTCTTAATTGCAGTTGAACTAAGTTCAAAAGGCGAAAAATGTGCATTTCGGTCAAACTGCTTACAAAATACGTTATAATAATTTACGCATTAGGTTCGGTACATGAGAAGTTCGGCGTCTGAATCAAAGCCGTTCCAAAGTCGTTCCAAAGGCGAAATTCCCGGCCGGGCTAGGCAAAAAGAACGGCTGAGCCTTTCCAAATTGAAACAGGCGTTCCTAATTGACTCAGACGCCGAACTTTTCATGAACTTAATTCAGTGTATTAGGTTCGGCTCATGAAAAGTTCGGCGTATGAACCGGGCCTAAGACGTCTGTTACTCCAAGGAGAAAAGTAAGGGTATTCGAACGGAAGGATATCCGGAAAAATAAAATTTGCTTACTATTTCTCCACAGTTACAATTAATTCCACAACCACGACGCCGAAGTGCACGCTCCCATAGCCTCTTGTTCATATTTTATTTTGGGAAGCAACCTCGTTTGGAAGCGTCATTGATCAGCGGTTTCAGTTGCACAATTTATGCGTTTCAGACAATCGAGGCGTTGATTCCTACACTCAAATTTACATATGCTTCATACATACAAAACGACGGGAAAGTTCTTTCTGAACACATCACGTAATATTTTTGGTTGGACTTCGTTGTGATATTCGTTTTAAACAATAGGTACTTTCCCTTTGGGACAAATAATGGGCGAAGATTTCTCCTCGCAAGGAACACGATACGAAAAGGAAGTGACGTCGTAAAAGGTTGGGCCTGCTGAGAGGGTTGTGATTGAGTGATATTTCAACGTAAGTTGTGTGTTTATCGTCCTTGAGAATCGGTGAAATCCGATAAGGTTGACTTCATTTGAGAAATCTGTAATCGACGAATGCGTAACTGCGTTTTTGCAAAGTTTCTCGATGGTGATAGCGCACAAGAAAAGTATTTTGGGGGACGAATTTAATGGAGCCGCGAACACCCACTGCAAGTATCAATGGCGGTTCTTACCAATGTGATGAATCGAGTTACCAAGATACTGGAGTATTTGATCGTGACGGGAACATGTTACCAGACTTACTGGATTCACAAGTAGACAGTACATTGCAAGGATTAGACATGGGTGCCATAAAGAAGAATTCCTACAACAGAACTAGGGCAGCAATGGCGGTAAGAACAAACAGGCAAAATATTAAAACCTAGTTACATTTTAATTCCTGAAGCTTGGTGACTTGTAGTTGGCGGTTTAGTCTAGGCTTATTACGATTATTTATTTATCAGTTTTTTCGTTTCCATGCGAGAAAACAGCTGTGAATGAAGCTAATAATGTGGTTTACCGTTCTTGTCAAATATGTTTTTGATTTTGCTTCATGTGATCTCGCGCTCTAAAATCCAAAGCGGAAAAGCTGTACATGGATTTTGTCGAAGATTTATCCCTGAGCAATTTAACGGATTGTCAATCACAGAGAATCTGTTCGCCCGAAACGCATATTTAAGAATTTCACATCGACCAGCTATTTTATACTTTGACTGAGTATTTCTCCTAAAAGTTGTTCCCTGTGTTGAAATGTTTTGTTTTCGTTACATGCATGCGACAGAAGCTTGATTTTGCACGCATTGGCATATTTTGTTTCTAATCAGCCCAGGTGTCATCTACAAACGTTTTTAAAATGGTAATGTAGAGGGTATTTGAAAAATAATCAAGTGTCTCATACAAGTTGACTTTCTACTTCTTTCCTGTAAATGTTGTTTGCTTAGTACCGAAGTGTTATTATTATTTGACAGTTGTTGAGTGGTTTTCACTTTTTAATGCAAATGAAATGTTTGTTTGGGGGGAGTTTTCTCACATCTTTGAAGTTCGATCAAATTAGGCTTCTTACAGACACATCCATGCTGTGTTTTGCGTGTCTTGTTGAATCTTCTCTCTGGTGTAATGTAGGAAATCCATTACTATAAAATGTTCTATTTAAATGTGGCAAGTGGTTTTTGATAAGAAGCCCCCTAAGAGAGATAAAAATTTAACTTTGAACCATGAGCTTGGATGTGACCATGTTGCAAGGAATTTCTGACAAGTGTCGTCTTATAGATGTAAAATTTGTTGTCAATTTTTTGAAGAAGAAAAGCCCAGTTTTCCTTGATATGTTGCAACACATAATTTTGTAAACTTTGAAAAGGTATTCTTCATGGTCACACAGGAGGCATTTTGAGTGAAAATAAGACTTTTGTGTAATGAGCTTAGTACAGCCAGTCTATTGGTAGTTCTGTCTTTGCAGATCTCTGGAAAAATCTCAAGACTTAGTACAAAGATTAAAATGAAAGTTGATTCAACATTCCCTTCTTTACACTTATCGCTGTACACGTGCAGTAAATTTGAGGATTCTTTATAGATGACATGAACCTCGTGGAGGTGCATGTAACTTAAATGGAGGAGTAGAGTGCCAGAACAAAACTATAACAGTTTTTTATCCCTGAAAAATTTTTAGTTGGAACGATTTTGAGGGCTAAATATAGCACAAGAAAAAGTCAGGTTTCACTTCTCTCCTGAGAAAGAGGTCAGTTGCTCTGAATAAGCACAAGGTGTTTGAAGGTGTTTACATATATGTTTTTCATCTATAGGTCAGATAATTTGTTGTCAGATTGAGTCACTAAAAGATACTCTGACAGAGGTACAATTTCAATTAAAAACTGAAAGACATTGGCTAGGCACTAATTAAAAGCAGGCATTGATGAAAAATGAAGTTGAAATTATACAAATGGTATTTGTGCATATCACTGCGTACAATCCAATAGCTTTATTGTTTTACTGTCCACGTCACCGAGCCTCAACATTTGCGATTAGGGTTTATGATATTTGGAAAGTGTGGATAAATATAACAAAAAAGATGCCAGAGAAAGACTTTCGAAATAAACCTGTAACTGGGTTTCAGAACTTGAGTATGTGATAGACAATTCATTATTAACATCTTTCATGTAAGTTTTACTGGTGCACATTATACTGACATTTTAAAAGAATTTGCAAGTAGATGCTTATTTTGAGGTACAGGTGCATGTGCATTGCATTAAAATTTATTTTTCCATGGAGGCTGTTCTCCTCTGAAAACTACTTCAAAGCTTCTACAAACTACTAAAAAGTTAAATGAATGTCAACTGAAGGCTGGGAAAAATGGCTTGTGCTCCACGAAAAACTGTAAATGTTAAGGGTGGTAAACAGGGCCGTTACTAAGGTTCCATGTTGCCAGGTACTGTGTATATCTGTTACAGGAGAAAAGTAAATTCAGGTTAAAATTTTTTAATCCAGGTTGATTCTCAATTTTCTTTGTCTCCTAGCCCTTGTTCATGGAAAATCAGGGCTAGGAGGCAAAGCAAAATAGAAAATCAAACTACCAGTAGGTTAAAAATTTTAACCTGAATATAATTTTGACCTGTAACATACATAATGGTTTTTGTATTAATTTTTATTTTTGCAGGCAATAAATCCTACAATTGCAAAAAAGGTGCTACCCTTGGTGAGAACTTTTTAATTATCATTACAATGCATTATCATTACTGTTTTTATTATATTAACTGTTTTAAATAATTACATGTATGTTGTCAAGTATAAGGAAGTTATTTTGTAGTAGTTTGTGCATAAACATCATTACACAAAAAGACATGTTCGTAGCAACACTTGACCATTTTATTGCAGTGTTTACTTTTCTCTCAGCTGTACCTTGCCTTAAACATGTAGATTCGCATGCATAGTGTCTTTTGGAGTCTATCAAATCAATCAAGCTGTGAGAAAAGTAAAACATATTATATGAAGATAAGATTGATGTTTTATCAGTCAAGCCTCAAGTTTCATGGAAACATGATTATTGTGTTATCTACATTGGTGGGGGAGGGAAAATAAAAATAAAAATATTTTATTGCCTCTTTCTATGAGTTGCTACCCTCAGCCAGATACACGAACAGAAGTAAGTCAGATACTGTCATTTAAATTGCATGGCTTCCCCTGTTCAGGGAATTAATGAGTTGGAAGTTGTGTGGGGCTTATGCCAGTTAGGCTAATATGGTATTGCAGAAACTTTGCTCTGTGATTGAAAAACAAAATAAATAGTTTGGTTGAAGCAGTTATTCATGTGTGAGGATTGGGAGAACTGATTGGAAAGATAATTAATTTTTCCTTTTAATTTTTCTGTCTTTGCTTGAAAGAGAAAGTCAATGTAAAACCCTGCGTGTTTGTAGGGGGACTGAGGAATGAGGTTTTTTTTCTTATACCCTTTGTCTTGTCTTTTCACTATTTTGGACATCTATGTGATTGTACAAAGTAATATTAAAGAACAGGCTATGCAATATTGTTATTTTGTTACAATATGTTGTACCATCACATGGAATACTGATTTTATCATATTATAATCAATTATTATTGTTTTCCTTTGGTTTCATTATATTCATTCATCACCATGCCCAAAATTATAGGTGAATAAGGAGAAAATTGAACCAAAGCATATCTGGACGTCATTTACATGCAGGCTAGGTTTTACAGGCTACTATCAACTAGAGCTAATGTGCACATCACCATGCATGTGCATGCTGCTAGTTCCATAGCTCTACTAGCTATGCTTTTGATTTTTGGGGTACATGTATTTCCCTGTCAGTTTAGATTTAATAGTAAAGAATGGCGAGTTTCCAGCTGTTCACTGTTGAGTTATAGATGCACTTGCGAGTTTTGGAAGTACTCAAGAACCTAAGAGTCACTTTTGGGTTTTCTCCTGGATGATTCTTATACCTTCCAGCTGTGTTTAGGTTTCCACTCACTTGTTGGGATGTTAAGAAAACAAGTGTTGTTATTTTCTATGAATTTGCAAGTGCTTATAAAACTTTTCAATGCATCAGGAACAAGTTGTTTAATTTCTTATAGAAAATACGGGAAACAGTGTATCCCATGACTTGGCACTCATACTGATGTCATGCACTGCATACATTATATTTGTTGTGGTTCAATTATTTATCCTTGGTTTAAATTTTATTTTACTTTGTTTGAAATCCATTATAATACATTACCATACCCCAAAGCAAAGGAATATGAAATGAAAACCAAAGATAAAATTGAACCACAGCATATGACCAGTACTGTACAAGTATAATCTCCATAAATCTTTTTTCGTTTTTTTTTTCTTAATTTAGGCATCAGATGATCTGTCAGAAGAAGAAGAAGCAGCTATATGCATTCAGGCTCATTTCAGAGGATACTTGGCAAGAAAGCTGTTTGTGCAGCTTCTGTATGATAAATATATAAGGGTTGGTATTAAGGCTTTCAGCTTAGCTGCAAGATTGTCCTATGCGGTGTATTCCATGTGATAATTATTACTTGATTTTAATTGAAGCAAATTTCTGCTTTTTATTTTGACATGTAAAGACTTATGGAAATTGTATTCCTTTATTTCAGGAGGAGGAAGAGATGGAATCAAAGAGGAGACAACAAGTTATGGAAGGAGAGCTATTGGTTGAAAAGTAAGACAACCAAATAAAAGCATATTATACATAGTAATTATCATTGGCCTCATTTATCATATCCATTACAGTGGTGTAAAATTATTAAATCTACTTTGTCTGGGTGACCATAAGCATAAAAGCAGTAATAAAATAATTATTGTAATTTAGATATATATGTGTAGAGGCTCCAGATATGCAAATCATTTTTTAATTCTTGAAAGTAAAATTATCATGTCAAAAATTCTGTGGTTACGTATATGTATGTTAAAAGATAGCACTATGAAGGTGAACGATTTGATGTTCTTCTGCTCCTTTGATGTTCTTTAAATACAAAGCATTGTGTTTACATCTGTAAGTAAATAGGTTGAATTTAGATTTGTATCTGCTTTACAATATTATTATAAGCATGCAGAGTAAAGCGAGCACAGAAATTGTTTAACTACATTTATTATTGACACTACAGTTATAATAGATGTGTTTTGGTAGGCAGTTAACTGACCAACTATGTTGACTCCCTTTCTTAATATAAGCTGTAAAAACATTCTTACACTGTGCTAGTGAAATTTTCCTTCCATTGATCACTCAATAACTGTAAGCTCTTTGACTAAATACCACTGATCACAAGTGCTCAATGCACTAGCTGGTAGAATTTAGTGTGTTTGAAGATGGCCTTTCATCTTTTTAATTGACAAACATTCATTTTCAAAATTATATCCCCTCAAACAAACGTCAATGTGTCCTGTAGTCAAGTGAATCTTTGTCAAGATGATTTTAAAGAAGGGTATTTTTATTTGATTCTTTTTTCCTTTGTAGTCAATGAAAGTATACACTCACAGAAAGTATAAAAAGTCCAGGTGTTTATTATTATTGAAGAATATTTAATATTTTGTTTCATAAGAGATCAATAATTTATTATTCTGTCCTGTCTATTCAAAATCTTGAATTTACTAAAACATACTAATAGTCTGTTGCTAGTAGTCCAGAGTTGCTTAATTCTGCTTGGACAATTTTTGAGGCAAGCATTCTGAACTCTGCAGGCAGAATATACATTTTTAAGAATAATATGAACAAAATAGTGAAAAATCAGCAATGCTAATGATGTGTATAAAAGTTACAAGAAAACTGGAAACTAAGAATAACTTGTAAGATCCTTTTTAAAATTCACTGTTTTGACTGCTATGAATGATATTGTACTAAGTGTGTTGAATCAATTTCTCCAGGTTATGAATATCTCATAAGGGGCCTAGGTGCATGTTCCTGTCGATATGTGAAAATTTATAACACCCAAATGACTAAAACTTTTTAAGGAACTTGCGTCTGAATTTAGGTGTTAGAGTACAATTTCCAGCAAATAAGGGATTTTTATCAGCACTGCTGGAAAGCAGAATTACTCATTAATTTATGAACAGAGTTTATACAAGCCTTTCGTTTACAAACGTCTTTGTTGGAAAAATGCATTGTGTGGCATTAAAGTCTATAGTTATTAACTTTCCGTGGTTTTAAATTGATTTATAAATCTTTCTAATAAATAATATATTTCATGCAGCATTTATTGTAAGAGTGTTTCCAGAACAGCTGTGGAAAAAAGGCTCATTTCAAACTGTCTGTTTTGAATATATTGTGCAACTTTTCTATTTAAAAATTTTGTACAGATTTAGGAAATGACAGATAAGGTTTGATTATTATGCTCAAATTATTGCTTTTGATGTAAATTTGATTGGTAACTGTCAATTTTTTTGTTTATCTTATTCACCATCAGCTAGTTAAAATTTAAGAACTTTCTGTTCATGTCAGATTCTGAAATAACATGGGGCACATTCAAACATTGGAAAGTACTTGTACTTTTTCACTGTACAATTTAATTTAGCTTAATTCTTTTAAAAGGCCAATCAACAAAAAGAATACTCTTTACTCTTTCTTATCACAACTTTTCAAGAAATATGATAATTGGCCTTCTACCCAGATACAGCTTAATAAAGAGTACTGTGTAGCACAAAGTTCTTAAGAAAATTTGTGGGATGTTTTAGTTGTTGTATGTATAGTAGTGAAGATAGAGTAAGACCCCTGCTTGTGTTGTAACTTTAAAGCTGATGGATACAGTGTATATCATTATGTTAATGAGCTGTTAAGTACACTGCATGTGTAGCAGCACATTTCGTGAACGTTTGCATTGTGCTGTTCATTATTTTCATCTCCTCAGTAGTATGTGAGTTTTTCGGTGAAGCCTGTTTAGCACTTTCTGTAATAACTACAGTGCTACAGTGTATACATGCAAAACTATTTCAATTTTCAAATGTGAATGTTATTTTTTGACAAAGTTAATCTTTTTTAGTATTAAAACCTTAATCCTGGTTGAGTTATTAGGAGCTTATGTGTCAGATGAAGCAATCAGTAGGGAGCTACATTAGTATACGTACAGTCTACTGATCTTCATACACAACATGTATTCTCATGTTTAATTAACATGGATCAAAATTGATTAAAATGAATGCACAGTCACAAGTTTTATTTGCATGATCTTTTTTTCAAGTTAAAACAAAATTTATAAAGAATGATGTTTCCACTCCATTAATTTTTCTCCAAAAAATACCCTGACCATCATTTTTAAAAAACTGAAAATGTTTTTTCATTTTCTATCCTGACAGCTATCGCTTAAACCTTGAAATGGAAGAGAATACTTGTTTACGTAAAAACACTAGAAGAGGGAAAGAATGTGATGTTATAACGTAAGTTTCTCCCTGTGAGTTTGAGGTGGCGTATAAAATGTTGGACAGTGTATTTACAATTAAAAAAACATGCATTTACTCCTTGAACAACTGCTCATTCCAACCTATGTTGTAGGTCAAAATGAAATTCAGGTCAGCCTAAGTTGATTCTGAATTGCCTTTCTTTCTTAGCCTAACCCTGATTATTCATGATCATGAATAATTAGGATTAGGAGACAAAGGAAATTGAGAATCAACTTTGGTTGAAATAACCTGCAAATACAGCTATCTGTCCTTGGTACTCATTACTAGGGACTTCTGGCGGGAGAGGCATCTGGGTTGTAGCCCCAGAAATTCCATTCTGGGCGGTGACATAGACTTGTCCAGAATTTGGCCAACAAGTGCTGGTTTGCCTGTGCAAATACCTTAACATTGGTTCTTTCTCAAATCATGGCTGTTTGCAAATATCATAGGGTCAATATTGAACATCTCGCGCCAACTGAGCACTCTATATCCAATTACAGCTGTATCATGTTACCTGCTGATCATGCTTGAACTAGAAGAACACTTCAAACATGCTATTTTGTCAATATGTTTATATATAATGAAAATAAATATATAATGTATTATTATTATTATTATTATTTTGTTCAATACGCAGTATATCTTGATTGTTTTGCCTCCTCTTAAGGCTATATGTTGCACAGGTGTTCCCATGTTTTAAGTTTTTACTTTGAATTTATAACTACAGACTGTGCACTTGAACCTGACCATTCATTGATTAGTATTTGTATTATGTTCATGAAAAACAGTAAGTTTGTGTGCTGTAAGGGAGCAAGAGAAAAAGTTAGTATTAGGCCTTTTATGTGTAAGCCTTTTGTTTTGTGACTGTATTGAGCTCTAACTGTTAATATTAATATACAGTGTAGTAATTTTGCTCTTAATACCTATGACATGCTGTTGATATTTGTAGCATTCAAAGAGCTTGGAGAGAACACAAGCGAAGGTCTGAGGACCACTTAACACCTGAACATGGCAGAGTTAATCCATTTAACAAGCCAGATTTTGGAACTGTTACGCAGCCTGCTTATTCTACTCCAGACAATAACGGTGTTCATATTCGGACAAACCCATTTATGGGTGGAAATGAGAATTCCACTCACCATGATGATGACGCTCTTTCCGATGTTTTTAATGACAGTCTAGAGCAAGTTACAGAGGAGAATTTAAGAAATACTCAAGAGCATGGACCACGTAGACAACTTTGTGATAATTACCAGGAAACTGAAGATGATATTCTTAATGGTGACGCACCTGGATTAGATTCTATAAGCTCACCAGCAGAGCTGCCTTCGCCAACGACAGACTGGGAATCTATAGAGTCATGTTTGACATCAGAGGGAGATACTCAAGAGTTATTGGATCAAACTGAACTTCTGGACTCATCTAATGACAGACTAAAGCAATTATCACTGAAACCAAAGAATTTGCAGATTTGTTTTGTGGATGACACAATGCTTAGCGATGTTGAAGGAGATGAAGACAGTTGTCTTATAAAAGAATATATAATCGACAAACAGGAGGTTTCTGACGAAGAGAAACGTGATTCAGGCTGCGTGGCTGGTGATGATGAAATGTCAGAATCTTTCAGCATTAAAACTGTGCCACCAGAAATGCTGGAGAATCATGAAATATCCCAGGAGGATTCTGAAAAAGTTTTGTTAGAACTGAGTAAACAAGAGAGTGAGGAAGACAAAAGTGAAAGTTGTTCAACTGTGATGTTGGGTTGGACAGAAGAGCGGCTAAGCGAACTGACAATTGATGAACTCAGAGAACTCAAGAAAAACATGGCTCAGTTAATTGAAGGTAAAGTTAAAACGACTGTTGAAATTTCTTGTTTCCTTTTCTTCTCCCTTAACATTTTTTGTTTGCTTTGTACAGTGTGAAATCTGTAGTTTTTTGAGTCAGAGATTTGTCAAAAAGAAACTTATTTTCTTTCTCTGCCCAGTATTTTACATGTAAAAGACTATAAATTATCTTTACTGAGTTTTTATACAAATTTCTGTTTTAGCTTACTTAACAGTATATCTCAAACCTTTGTGGTTTTCTTTACGTGAAAGTCACAAAACTGTGAACACCAGACATATTTATTGAATGTTATTGTGTTGCAAGGTGGGAAGAGCCAATCAGGTGTGGGAAAACTAAACAGCAAGCAACATCGGAAATTAGTTTATGATTTTGAGGCTTCCTCACATGTCATGACCTTCATTGCAATTGGTCATAACTCAATGAACACTCCTAGGATGTTTTAAGAATTCATGGTTTTATTAGTTTGACTCTTGAATGGCTATACTATTACACTCCTAAAATGTTTTCAGTGTACACGGTTTTATTAGTTTTACTGTTGAATGGCTATACTACATTGTATTACCACTTAGCCCAAGCAAGTACTCTTGTTGATTATAATATGGCTTAAAAATGGCGGCTTTTCTGCTTGCTTACTAATGACTTGTTTTTCTTGCGGCTTGGCTACCAATACTCTGCGAAATCCAAAGCCTCCTAGCGAGGTTGTCCCTGGGCTCTTACCAGTGGACCTGTTTGGTTTAATTAACCCAGCATATGATCCCTGCATGACTTGCAGGCATCCCAGACCTCCTAAAGTTTCCTGTTTATCCTATAATTTGTATAGGATCCTATAAAGAGCCTATATTTCAAGAAATCCTTTTATATTTCCTATAAATAGGACATATTCTGATGTCTGCATTTTGCACTGTGAAGCAATTTTGTTGTGAATTAACAAAATCAAAATTCTTTATCTGTGAAAAGAGATTATTATTTTTGAAATTTTTGTAATTTATGTTTTTGTAATTTTCTATTTTTTAATTTTTTTATTTTTTTTTCTATAAAGAGCCTATATTTTGGCAGAAATTTTCTATATTTTGAACTTGAACAGCGTAATAATTTTTTCCTATCAGATTTTCGAAAAGTGGCTGGGGTGTGCTCCCAATAAATCTCACCATGTTCTGTAAAAAGACTCATTTTTTAATTCTTTGCAGCTCAAAATGAAGTTCTAGTCACTGAATTAATGAACAGAGATAGTCTTCATCTGAGGCAAGACTCACTTCTTATGGATGTAGAAGATGCATCAAAGTAAGTCTCTCTCTTACTACCACGTAAATATATATCACTCATCCCTCTGAAGTGCATTTCAGACAACTTTGGTTGAAGTTGTTCTAAAGTCTCTTCAGAATTAATTCTTCCAAATGGGTGCGGAAAATGATCGCTTCATTTTGGGTTTCTTCTTTTATTTATGGTATACTTAGTAACTTGGTGAATTTAATATGATTCAGACTGAAACGGGCACCTTTACACCTGAATTTCCCAAGTTTAAAATAGAACTTGATAGGCAACATTGAAATCAAGCTATTTTTCAACTTCACCACTGACTCCGGAAATCTATAACAAAGGTTGGGACATGCTTGTCCAGGGTTAGCAAAAACGTATTGTTGATACATGTTTATTTTTTCTTGGTTGAGTGTCACTTGCCTGAAAACACTACACACACCTATACTAACATACTAACATAAATTAATTGGTGGCATGTTGGGGGAGTTAGGGAATTTAAGCAACGATGTTTTTGAGTGATGCCTGTCAACCAGGAATGGACTTTTTACACTCTTCGGCAGTGATTTTGAACAAATTCTCGGGCAAATTGTCTCTTTCAGGGTAAAGACACTTAGCAATACAAATTTGGTAGCGTCAAGTCATATTAAAGGAGAAAAAGGCTCACTTCCGTTTGACGTGCGTCGCTTAAAAACGTTGTTACTCAAACTCCCTAATCTCGAGTGTGAGTGACGGGCTTGTCTAATACTTTTATAATCCTTGTTTCAGTTTTAACTGATGAACATGACAAAACAACTTTCATGTATTGGGAAGCCACAATTAACTTCAAGACAAATGAACTATAATTTACCGATGTCTCTTAAATTTTAATAAACTGTTAGTAAATTATTTTAGAATTCTAAACAACCACTTGTCTGCAAGACAGGCGCAAAATAATTTATTTTCAAGTATAAATTATTAGGAGATAACTATGACGATCCGAAAGAAGTGATATTTACATCTGATCATTAATAATTAGTTTTTGTGATCTTTAATAGGTAAAGAAATTTATTCCAGTACTGACACTAATATTAAACTTAATTTTCGTTACACTTAGTAGTGAGCTGACAATAGTTAAGCATAACAGAATGCACATGATAATGTTCTCGCAAGTAATTGATAAAAGTTCTCGTAGTAACTTAAAAATCTTCCCACAACCTGTATGCTAAACCGTGGGTCGTCTTTCTTACTTGTTTGGCCTTGTGTCAAGCTGTTAAATAATATTATCAATGCTTAAAACTTTTAATGGCTGGTTTTTGTAAGCGAGGGGGTCCGAATTTAAGTCGTCGTTTGAAGCATAGAACCTTATGATCAAGTGAAAATAGCATTCCAATTCCACTTACCACTGCGTTGCTTACAATCTTGCATTGAAAACTAGGTTTTCAGAGTTGAAAGGAAAAGCAGAAGATCTTAGCCAATCACAAAGTGTTGGAACAAGTATTGTGATTGGTGTATCCTTTCGCTCTTGCTTCCGACTCCGACAATTTGGTTTTCACTAGATCGTAAATGACCGAGTTATACTATAAGTGGAGTCCGAAGAAAATAGAAACGTTGTGATTTTTCCGACGCCGATTCCGTCGCGCTTATGACTCCTCTCACAACTCCATTCGATCATCTTTATTTTCTAAAAGTCGTAAGTGCTCTTACGACTTCGGTAGTGAAAGCCAGTCTTAAGAGGGTGATGCACAGTATTCGAGGGACTGGGTTAGCGATCAGAGGCGACTGCATCGCAGGCTAGGAAAGAAGCTCCCTGTCTGTATTGTTAATCAGTCTGAGAGAGAAGGACTGTGCATGGTAACATAAAATTGTCAGTGTTCTTTGTCAGTTCTTTGCTTTGGCCTTGTTATCGTCAAACCTTTACAATTATTTTCTGATTTAATTTTATCAAGCTGTAAATAGGGCAACTATAATTATCAATATAATATGTTTTCTTATCCACAATAAAAATTAACAATCATCTTACTATTGATTACTACGCCAAGAGTAAAATAAATGCCTCACTACTTACAAAGCATTTTAATATACTTAATGTCATAGCTCCCTGTGCCCTTCATTAAAAGGGTAAGATCATGTGGTAAATAAGAAATTATATTAAAGATTAACTATAAGCTAAATTAACAATAAACATCGCGAAAATATAATATAAACGTAAAACTACCGTTACATTTGTCAGTGAAACCATTTAACTGCTTATTTTTATTTTTTTTTTTTGCTGTTGTGTGTATGTTGTCATTTTTATTTCTCACTTGTTTTTGTTGCCACTTGCATCAGAAAAGTCAAGCGTCTCCGACTGAAGCATCATTCCCAAATCTAACCTGCTCTGTGATCTGGAATGCGCCTGTCCGCCTGTCCTGCTGGCGCTCAAAGTTGATTTTCTATCTCTTTTGTTCAGTACAAGGCTCAAGGCTAAACTTCTGTAACCAGTGGCTATCAAAATGTTATTTATTTGAGAATAATACGGTCATATCTTTGTTAACTGGCATATCTAGACCGAACCCTCTCAAATATAGACATCGTCGCGGTTATTCTTCAGTCATCTCACTTCATTGGACAATGTTAGGCGTACTACTTGGGCTCCTTGTGACGGGCACTTTGTGTCAGTCCCAAAACATTGCCTATCATAGAGAATTGACTGTACGACGAAATAATATCATGAAATTATATCTAAGTTTTGTTGGAAAGCCACCCTGCTAGCAGTCTTTCTTTGACTTGCTCGATTTTGGCGTACTCGAGAAAGACTGCATGAATCTAGTAAGATATTTGTCAAACATGTGCTGCTTGTTGCTGGGATACAATTAAGAACCCAGGCCTAATAGCCATGCGCTTGGTGCAGAGGGCTCACTTATGACCATCGGTTTATCAGTGAATGAATGCACGCACTCGGGATAGAGAACAAGTAAACTAGTCCAGGACTTCTGGCTTCTCTGACTTCAAAGGCTTGACTCGATTGAGACAGAGCCTCCTTTTCGCTAGCCTGCGAACAGGAGACGTATTTCCAGTCGTCGCTTCTCTCCCTCCGTGTTGGTCTCTCGGAGGGAGAGAAGCGACGACCAGAAATACGTCTGCTGTTCGCAGGCTACCTTTTCGCCTCCTCACTCGAGAAGACAAAAATGAGGCTCTAATCGCCGTGTGTTTGAAAGCCCGGAGAGGAGAAAGATTTTCTGACTAGGGAACCTTTTTAGAAGTGATGTAGCACCTTACAGTCCATTAAACAAGGATACGAGTTGGCCTTGAGCCCTGTAAGGTGTATTTGTTGTTGTTTTATTTCATATTTCTGTTCTTTATCTTGCACAGACTAGCACAAGCACAATATCAGAGGTCACAGAAAGTCAGAAAGAGATAGCTCACCACAGCACTGCACTATTGCACTTGCACAAAGAACACTTAGTTTGTTTTACTTAAAAGACGGTTATTGTTGGTTATTATTAATTACACATTAAGTGCAAATTGATTCCTTTTAGTATACTCATTCCTTTTAAAGTTCATTCGTCAATTGAGAGATACGACTTAGGGATTTACCAAATAATAAAACTGCGTAGTAATTACTATCTAAGTGAGTTTATGTTTTTGCATTTTCTTTTCTATGAGTTAAATTAAAATTCCTTGAAAAATTGTTTCGGTTTCCAACTCCTAAGAGCTTTGAGGTAGAGCTGTATAGGACACTGGTTAATTCAACTTTCTGCTTATTTGGGTGTCGCTTTCGTTAGTTCTTTTCGAACTATTAATATTGTCATATCGTAATTAGTTTCTTTAAAATGATTGTGATGATACTACATGGAACCAATTGCCGCTCTTTAGTAAGCAACATTAACCTGGAATACAGATTTATTTTTTTACCAACTTTAATGTAAATTGCCAGGACAAATAATGGTTAGATACAGGGTAGCTACAGAAGTTTAGGTATTACTGAATTATTTTAGGAAATTCAAAGTTATTTATGTTTTGCCTGTGTTTGATTTTGGGAAAAGAACACACTGATGTTGTGACATATTTCAACGCTGACAACGTTCAGCTTACATACAAAATGTTTGGCAGCGTTTCAAGTAGTAGATAATTATTTAGATCATTCAATAAGTCAATCTTCATTTTGCTTGTAAACCCAATAAATTATGCGTTTTAACCCTTAACAAGTTTTGGACCCCCCCACCCCCCCCCCCCCCCCCCCCACAACCACTCAACCCATCCCCCCCCACACCCCCCACACACCCCACACATCACCCACCGACATACCAACACAAAGACGTAAGAACTCACTAATTCGACACCGCATATCACGTTGCTTTGCTTCCTATGTGTCTTGTT